CGCAAGACTGGAAAACGGGTGACCAAGACTGTTGTTGATGTTTGTGCAACATCATGGACTTGAAAGATGGAGTCCTAATCCAGCTGCCCATCACAGAAAGTCTACCCTAGCACAATGGCCAGCCAAGACACCTGTGACATTGGCTCAGGGTGAAATACACCCTACAAAGCAGATGAGGAATCATTTGGCTGGGCTAGATCTTAGCCCTAACACTAGATGTAACCAGCTTGAAGTTTGGGACATATCCCAAACACCCATGTTGTCTGAGCAGAAAGCAAGTGTTCCCAAAACGCCATAGAGTGCCAATTGCCAATTCCCATAATTGTCAACTTAAGTCCTGATCCTGAGCAGGGCTGGAAGGTGTTACAGACACTTTCTATCTTTAACAAGTCTTTACCACAAAGTATGGTTAACGTGGCACAGCTACCAGGTAAACCTCCTGTTGCCTGGATGATACACATGGAGGCAGATCACATCCTCCTAGATCAGGGATCGGGAAGCTGTGGCACATACCTATGTACATTTATCACATGGCATGTAACAAGTCACATAGGTGCTAACAGCCTACAAACATCCTAACCATGTGTACTCAGAAGTAACTTCTATTAAATTCAGTGGGGCTTACTTGTAGGTAAACAGGGTAAACATATTTCCTTGCATGACACGTTTATATTGGCCCATACAGATCATCTATGTTGTTATTATCTGTATTTTTAATAGATTTTTGATATATACTGTTTTAATTCTATTAGTGTTTCCTTTCTATTGATATCTTTTCTATGTTTTTAGCATTTTCTATTCTATCTGTCAGCAGCCTGGAGTCCCAGCCTGGGGAAAGGGTAGGATATAAATTAATATCAATATCAATATCATCATCATTTAGCGTTCTTGCCACCCCAGTGGTTGGTCTGGCCCTGGATGGTATGCAACTGGCATTCTAAAGCATCCAATGGACCATGCGGAGAACGCTTACAGGTGTTGGCAGGCCGGGTGCTCGTTTCCTATCAGGGTAGCGAGTTCCAGCGCAAAAGCCTGCGCACACGCTTCCTTGCGATGTGCTTCGCCTGCCTGGTTCCGCCTGGAGCCTAGGAGAGACGGCATCACCAGGCAGCTCCTCTCTGGCTCCGGAGTCCAGAGCGGCCCGTCCCCGCAGGCGAAAAGCTTTGATGCGATGAAGCATCTTTCCTCGCCCCACTCTCCTCTCCCAGCTGGGCCGCGCGGAAGCTTCGCAGCTGCGGGGCTGGGCTGGGCTGGAGAGCGCGCAGCGGCGCCCCCGGGAGGCCGCAGACTGGAACTGCCCGGCTGGCGTCGGCGCTTCCTCCTCGCGGCCCTCGGCTCCTCCTCGCGCCGCCTGATTGGGCCTTTCGAACTGTGCGGGCGGACGGAGGCGAGTGAATCAGCGCGCGCCGCAGCTGCGAAGGGGTCGCCGCCGCCGCCGCAATCACAGCGTGCCTGGCAGACGATGTAGGGGGAGCCCGACGCGGGGGGCTGTTGCCGTGTGAGTGAGTAACCTTCCCCGTGTCCTGTCCTTCGAGGGGATTCGTGCTTTCCTTCTGGCTGCAAGATCACCCTTTGCCCGGGGAGTGCGCAAGCAGCCGGTGGACAGTTGCAATGGTCACATGCTGCGGGCAAGGCTGTGTGACTCGGTTGCTCTGCTTCACGCAGGCATTGAGCTTGAGGAGAGCGGCTTTCCCTTTCCCACCTCAGACAGCGAGGGTTTAAAAAAGATTGCTTTCTCTGGCTACCTAAGGCTGCTGGGTTGTTTACATTGCGTTAGGGAAACAAAACACCAGCGCTTTGGATGAGCGTTACAGTGCTACAGATGCAGCTTGTCTTCAAGCATGTAGAACGGAGAATGTGGAATATAGTTATTTTGAGAGAAGGGGGAAAGTAATGCAGAGCAGTCCAAAGGTTTTAGGGCCAACTCTGAGCTGGAAGACAATACTGGCATACATAAGTGTGGGACAGGCCCTCTTAATTCACTAATGTTTGTGGCAGTCTGTCCTTTGTCCTGCCTCCTGTCCTAACAGGCCTGGGAGCATGCAGGTTTTTAAGTGGAGAATGCCAGGCCTTGTGGCAGGTTAGTTTACTAAAGATTTTGGACCAAGCGTAATTTTTTTCTTCAAGTAGCAGTACTGTGTCCAAGAAAGTTCATACAGATGCAATGTATGTAGCTGATGCGTAGCTTTTTATGTGTGATTGTATGCAGCGCATGCCATTCCCAAAATATGAATCTGATTTTTAGAATCACAAAACCCGATGGCATCTTTCAAAACAAGGCTACCGGTATATCTTTGGGAGTCTTAAAGCAAACTATCTGCACAACATGGAACAGTTCCTAAGCATACTAATACTTGAATGATGAGCCTTCCAGTAAAGCTTTATGGATCTTTGAAAGTAGGCTCCTCAGCTGTATGGCTGCAGACATTTGTCTTCCAGTGTGAAAAACAGACCTTAATAGTCTTGATTAGCAGTTTTGAGTTCAGTAGAGTTAGGTTTGATTTCCAGAGTATTACCTTCCAAACAGCATGTTATTCTGTGTAGGTTTGATTTGATTAATTTCCATACTGCTTAATATATTAAAAATATCTCTAAGCAGTGTACAGAAAATGGAATCAATAATACACAACTTGAACAAAAAAATTCAAAAATGCACAGTTATATATGTTACATTTATACAAAGTTACTAATATATTGATTGATATCAATATCCATTCATTTTTCTTCTGATGCACCATCCCTCTCAGTCTCCGGGTTCTCACCCAGAATCAGGTCAAAACAAACTCTCAGCTCATTCACAAAAGTCTCACATTGAGAAGGGTTCCTGGAAATAGCAGACATCACCCTAGCCTCTCACTCTAGACTAGCTTTTCATGGACAGACTCAAGGTGGATGGTACTTCCTCAGGCTGCCCACAACTGTGTCCCATTCAGCTGCATTCTCCACACCCATTTGTGGGCAGCCCGAGGAAGTACCATTCCTATCCTCAAACAGCTGGTTTGTTGAGTTTCCCAGGGGTCCAGAAGATAGGAAAAGGACCCCCTTCAGCTCACAGCTCTATCTTCACCCATGTCCTCTCCTCTTCCTCCAGCTGACCTCCTCCTTGCAACTATGTATAAGCATGCCTACTTCCAAGTAAGATTCCAGTGGAACCAATGGAAACACATTTTGCATCCTTATCTGGAGATGTTATTTTGCATCCTTATCCGGAGATGTTCCATAAAAGCTGTGGAAAATTAATATTCCATGGCTTGTCCATGGGCAATCTGATGTTGCAGTTAAGATATCTGATGAGGTCTAAGGATTACTACAGCGTATCTGGCTACAGTATGTGTTTTAAGTGTGGTTTGCACTTCTGAAAACTTTGGGCTGAGTTATGCTGGTGGTTAGGTGTATACGAGAAGGGAAAAACACTTTGCTGGCTTTGTCTGTGATGAAATACGCTAAATATCTCTTTAACCTTTAGGCATGGGTGGCTTCCACATTTGAATCTGAAGTATTGTGCAAAACTGTACAAGATAAATCATTGCAACATAATAAGCTGCTACTGCAGATTTGTCCAAAGCATTGTTTACTTACATGGGTTGTAACACAAGACTCTCAAGTTGTACTCAGTAACAGAAGTGGTTTGGGAATAGATGTTAAGCCCATAGTACACCTGTATGATGCTAGCTGCACTGGCCCTAGTCCATTTCTGGGCACATTAAGAAGTGCTGGTGTTGACCTTTAAAGCTCCTGGTGGGTATTTGAAGCCACTGTCCATGCCCTTGCAAGCAGAAGCATGATAGGTGCCTACCACTGAAGAGACTCTTTCAGTGATGGCGCTCCAGTTGGGGTATGTTCCAAAGAGGTTTGCCTGGTGCTTACCTTCCGGTCCTCTCCTAAGTCTTTTGGATGCAGTTTCAATCCTACTAACATCTTCATGCTTTTGATTTTTGTGGCATGTGTGTGTGTGTTTGTTTAATTGTTTTATTCATTTGGTAAACTGCCCGGCTTCCTGCCAACTTAGCAGTTTGAAAGCACGCCAGTGCAAGTAGATAAATAGGTACCGCTCCGGCGGAAAGGTAAACGGCGTTTCCATGCGCTGCTCTGGTTTCGGTGTTCCGTTGCACCAGAAGCGGCTTAGTCATGCTGGCCACAGGACCCGGAAAAACTGTCTGCAGAAGCGGACAAACGCCGGCTCCCTTGGCCTGTAAAGCGAGATGAGCGCCACAACCCCAGAGTCGTTCACGACTGGACTTAACTGTCAGAGGTCCTTTACCTTTTTTAAACTTCACCACTATATAATTTTGGGCTGGTATTAAAATGCTTACAATATTTTATTTGTTTGATTATGTATTCTCTGGAAACTTTCATAACACTCTTAAGAACAGAGGTAAAATGCCCAACTAATAGCCACTGAATTAACACCCAGTGCCTAAACTCACTGTGAGCTACTTGCTAATTCAGAAGTGGTGTTGGAATGATAAGCTGCAGCGAATGGTGGCTTTAACTGCTAATAACTTATGGCGCTAGTGGATGAGGGACATGGATACTGAATGCTATTGGTGAGTCAGCATTTGAAAGACATACATAATCCAAAGTGGGTCAGCTGATACCTGTCATCGTGCCAGATGTGTGGGTGAGAAGCAAGCTTCTGAGTTGCACATATCACTTCTTCAGGCAGGAATTTGAAGTAGTAGTGGCAATATGTATGTGAGTCAGATGGGCCTCTGTGAGTGACTCAGGCCACATACTTCCTTCCCTCAGGCCTAAATCAGTTTAATCTCCAGTTTCTTGAATTGTGGTCACTTTTGAGGAAGAGTATGACTGTTTGAATTTTTTCTTCTCTTACACAGGAAGGAGGAGATGTCTGGCCTCAGCATAGCCTGCCCACTTTCTTTAAAGAATTCCAATAGGCTTGATGCAATTGCATCATGGTTCATACTATGAATGTGCAGTTGTGGCTGGCGTACTCCACTTAGCTGGCCTGTGAGTGACCACTACTTTAGTTAGTTAATTTTGTTTTCTTTTTGTTTACCTCCTTATTCCACTTTTTAAGATTTTCTTCCAAATGGGTTCACATTAATTTTAAACAAGAATGAGAGGCCAAGCTTGTCCTTAAGTTTACACACTTTTTTTTAAAAAAAGTTGAGTATAGAGATACTCAACAAAGGTAGAGAAGTAATATCAGCTTCACGATGCCAGAAGAAAGGGATGAATTACAAACAGGCATTAACAGTGTGGACCAGGGCAGTGTGCAATTGTCTTCCTCTCTTTGGTACTAGGACAAGCTGCAGTTTGAGTTGAGTGTGTTCTTTCTAATAAAAAAGGGAAGAGCAAGTACCTTTCTTTGGCCAATGGACTTGACCAAGCTCCACTTCCCTTTGTCATGATGTTCTTCCTGGGTGGAAGGCAATAGTCCGACCTCCCAATGGCTCTTGGTCCCCTTGCTGGCGGGAGATGCCAGAATGTGCTTCCTTTCAGCTCTGCAGTCCCATTTATGATGTGAAGATCCCTGTTCGTGGGTGGTGCGTGGGTGTCAAGAGAAAACCCACAACCGCACGCAGGGAATGGAGAAGGATGATGGTTCCGTCTGGCAGTGTTTTCTTTCTCATTCCTTATTAGAATGTTTCCTCATTTCCTTAAGCCACAATTCATATTCAAACTGTGATTTGAAGCAACAAGGATATATATATATATATGAAGAAGGGAGGAGGACAAAAGGACAGAAGGTAGCCTGCAAGCTCATTGCTTGCTCCCAATCCGCTAAACCATGGTTTGGAGGATCAGGAATATGATGTCTGAATAGAAGCTCTGATTATATCTCTAGAGTGCCTGAGCAGCAGGAATCCCGCTTCTAGTTGACAACATATGGCCAATTCAGTGATGACATTTTAATAGACTTCTATGACAGAGGTGGTGTTACCCAGTGAACTGTTGTGAAAGAACTCGACATTTTCTCTGAAATGCCCATGCCCCCCCCCTCCAAAGATTAGTTTTGTGAGGCATTCCTGAAAAATGAAGATTCTGGACATTCTTCCAATGTTCATTTGTGAATATTTCATTTTATTCAGGCGCCGAGCGTGCCCTCCACATTAGGCTGTCTTTTGTTCTTACTCTGGCGATTGGCATGTTAAGGCCCTTGTCTGATTGTATGGGGCTCCTTATTTTAATGAGGGCAAGCCTCTTTGCTTGCTGCTCCTGCCATATTTTCCCCTTTCTAAAAAGTCAATGAACTCTCTCAGGCTTGTAGTTAGGACAAAGGGCTTTTTATGCTGAATGAAATTTATTCCCTGTGACCAGCTTGTGGGAAGCATAATACATTCATTAGTAACGTTCTGCTTTTTATATTCTGCCCTCTTTCGTATGGCGCAGAGAAGAGAAATATCAACAGGAAAGGGGCATGTGCTATTAACATCCAAGAGAGAAGTAGTGGAACTTCTGCACTGACAGATATGATTAGTTCAGGCTATAGCTGGGCTCTCAAACTGACTATGGCTCAAAACCCAAATCAACCTCTGACCTAGTCCTAAATCTGGAGTCTAAGCAAGGTTGGTATTGCAAAGAATTAAAATAAGAGGTGATACTCCTCATCAGTAGTATATGGATTATTGTTTTAATTAATTTGCTAGCAAGGATTTTTAGTGTATATGTGTTTTTAGCACTATTTTATCTTTTTCTTTTCTTATTCTTAATGTACATCCCCCTGGGCTCTTCTGAGGAAGGAGAAATAAATAAAATGACGTGATGGTTCTGCAGCTTGATGTGAAGGAAAATTTAGAATAGAAACATGTTTGTGTTCTAAACATTACAATCCAATTGGCAATCCTGAGAACTATGGTTTGCCCCCCAGTGCAAGAGTTTTATGCAAGCTGAATAATGATGTTATTTCAATCGTGTTGCCTTAAACTCTGTTTCAAGATCAAAGTTCTGTCAACTTCCTGTAAGAGACATACTGGCCAGGTTTGGACAATCTTTCCTGGGTTCCTGAGCCATGATTTAGAAAGATCATCCAAACCGGGCCATTTAAAACATTTCTGCATTCCTTAAATGTGTGCTCGAGCCTTCCCCAGTCTGGTAGCCTTCAGATGTTCTTGGGTTATAATTCCCTTCATCTCTGACCATTAGCAATGCTTGTTGGGGCTGATGGGAGTTTGAATCCAAAATGCCTGGAGAGTGCCAGATTCAGCAAAGCTGATGTGCACTCTTGCTGCTAAACTGATTTTATTTTTTCCTCTGTTGCAACTTTCTGTTACTGTCATTTGTTTTTTTATGACTGTACTTTAATATAATTTCTTATTCATTTATTTCTGCCTAGCGATTGCATGTAATTGGATGGCTCATATAAATATAATTAATGTTTCTGAGTCTTTTTATTAGTTTTCCTTGTTTGTAGTTATTGCCATTTTTGCATTTGGCTTTTGAAACTTTTGCAGTCATGTAGGAGGAGAGAATTGCTCCAAACCAGTTGCCTATCACCTCTTTTGCACTCTGTCTGACGATGTCTTGGAGGATCCCTGACCTCCCAGAGAGGCTGTGAGGGATTGCAGTTGGCTGCAGGGAGAGAATGGATGATAAACTTTCTGTCCATGAAGGATTTTCAGGTTAACCTATCTTAGGATCTATGTATGTATCATATGAGACACATAATATCTTTGCTCATAGCAGTTCATAACACTAAATTTGGTGCTAGGTGTGACTCCAATATAAAATAGCCCATGAGTTTTAATTTAACATGTCTCCTTTTTCCATTCCTAGGAAAGTACAATCGCCATGCAGCATGCAGTTCAGGTAGGCACAGTGAATTACTGACATCTTTATTATCATTTCCCTACCTTAACCAAGTAAAAAAATATGCTTCTGAAGAAAGACCTGTGACCATTTTATAGCAGAATCCTGTGCATGCCTACTCAGGAGTAGGTCCTATTGAGCTCAGTGTTCCTGGAAACTGGGAATAGAATTGCCACCCAAATGTGCCAAATTTATGTAGTAACTCGCTGTTTATTTTACTCGCTGTTCTTTTAAAATGAAAATTCAAAGTTTAGAATCCAGGCTGCATGCCTGTCGTGGACCATACATAAAACCAGCATCTCTGATGTTCAGTAAGGCTGTTCTAAAACAAATGTGAAGCGATTAGATAATGTCATTACTGACTTAATACTAGTTTTGTACCTTTTCTTGGAAACGGCTTAATAATATTTAGCAGTAATGTCCAACCGTTACAACTCACAACCTGTATTGCAGGTTGCAGCCTACTGTATATTTCACAGTGTGTCCAAGTTGTCTTGTTTAGCTGTTGCTGTCTCCCCTTAGGTGTGGTTTGGAGAGGATCCCCCTCTAAGTCCACGAAGTCCGCTGACTCCGAGGCATGGCCCAGGCTTGGCAGATGTTTTGCTCTACGACCAGTGGATATCTGTCCGACATGAGGCAACTCTGGTTCCTATGCAGGAGGACCTCTCCATCTGGCTCTCTGGCTTGTTGGGTACAGTACTAGGAATATTTGTCTGTTTGGAAGAGGCATTGCCCTAATTGTTGTTGTCCTTGAGCCCCATTCAGGGATCTGTCTCCTACATTTATTTATTTATGCATTCAGGAATATGTATACAGTGGACACTTGGGTTGTGAATGTGATCCATGCGGGAGGCACGTTTGCAACCTACGGCGTTTGCAACCCACAGTGCCGCGTCTGCGCATGCACTGTTGCGATTCGGCGCACATGCGCAAAGCGCGATTTAACTTCCTGGTTTTGGTGCGCCCCTAACCTGAAAAAATGCAACCTGAAGCGTCTGTAACCCGAGGTATGACTGTAAACTGCTTAATCAAAGTGCTCCTTATTCTGGCTAAGAACTGTAAGAGCTGTATTTAATAAAATTGCAGATAAAAACACAGCTAAAATGGTCAAAACTCTCTCTCTCTGTGTATAAAGATATGTAAAATAATCAGCATTAAAACACTGTTAAAATAAAACTAATAAAGTAACTAAATTTTAAAACTAATAGAGGTAACTAAATGCCTGGGTTGGCTTGCTGAAATAAAATACGTTTTTAACAAAAGTCTAAAACTAAATGCAGCCGTACCTTGGAGCCCAAACGCCTTGCAAGTCAAACGTTTTGGCTTCTGAATGCCAAAGTGAGTGTTCCGGTTTGCGAACGTTCTTTGGGACCTGAACGTCTGACATGGCTTCCGATCAGCTGCAGGAGCTTCCTGCATCCAATTGGCAGCCACGCCTTGGTTTACGAACATTTTGGAAGTCAAATGGACTTCCAGAACGGATTCCTTTTGACTTCTGAAGTACCACTGTATATTGAGGGTGCCTGCCTAATGTAAATAGGCAGGAGTTTCAGAGCACAGCCGCTGCCACAGTGAAAGATGGACTCTGAGTAAATGAGGGTTGAAGAAGAGAGTGAAGGTGTGCTAGCCCCCTCTCCTGAGTCCCATCCCACTTTCCACATGCTGGAAGGCAAGCATCTGAATTTCAGGCTTGGAGCCTCTCTGCAAAACCCCTGCTGCACATGATTGCCTTCCAATGCCTGGCAGGCAGTGGGGACGCACTGAAGGCAGCAATCTTAGTAAGCACATTCCTGCTCTCTTCTCATGTGATTTGAATTGTGTGAGGAGGAGGAGAATGTCTGCTTTGGGCTAAAGTTTAGCACAAAAAAAGTAAGAACTATTACCGTACCCAAGGAATTGCAGGCACCTCTTCCTGTTCAAGGTACTTTCCCCCCCGGGTCTCTTTTTCTCTTTCATTTGCTAAGAGCATTTAATAATGCCTTGCCACAATCTTTTTTAAATGTTTGCATGTTTCAAAAAGCACGGACTAGTTGAACCAGTCGGTGAATTACCATTATGCAACTTGTAGCCCATAATATAGACTGCAATGATTGCTTTAAAATTCAGGAACACAATCATGTGCAAAAAAATGAAGAATATGAATGAAGTCTATGATGCTGTGATTTCTAATGGGTTGAGTATGAGGTAATTTATCACTCAGTTTAGGATGCCACATGGTTCTTCCACAGCTCCTTGATGTGCTGGCTCTGCCACATATAACGTCTTCCTGGCTAGCTGTGTGCATCCGACTTCCTCAACTTGGTGTCTTCCATATGTTTTGGACTACAACTCCCATCATCCCCAGCTGCTGGGCAAGGCCGGCATGAAATGTTTGAAGTGCGTTTGAAGGTTCAGTTGGAATTGGTCAAAAGCTGATGAAATACACACACAAAAAAGGAGCATTTGGAGGTTATTCTCCTGTGAAAATGGGCTGCATTTATGTCTATGCATGTCTGAGTTGTCCGTTCAAGTTTATTATTCACGACTCTAATGAAAAAGTGGCTCTTTTACAGGGGTAGAACTTACAGCCGACCAATTGTTGGAAGATCTTGATAACGGTGTGTTGCTATGCTTGTTAGTTGGAGTCATTCAAAGCACAGTAAAAGAAATTTGTGACCCAAATAGTTTAAGGGTAAGTACAGCATTCATTGCAGCTTATAAAAACATGGAAGTGAGATTTTCTACAAACTGATTTCACTGGTATTATGTCTGCTCAGGTTCACATGAAGGATGTAGCATGCAAACTGAAAGTATACATTTACCTTGTTAAAAATGCAGCTGTGGTAGCACCAGAAGGTGCTTTTGCATCAGCAATGATAGCATGTAGCCAGATGTGCTTGTGTTCCTGGTTCAGATGTTACTTTTTCCACATGAATGTGGGCAAGTGCAAGCCCAAGCGTGTTCTCATGTATGGAACTTTGGTAACATTGTTGCATCTTCAAATCCAAAGCTTAAGGCTATTATATTTCTGATGAGATCTCATTTTCAGGTAATGCATTTGGGACATGGGCCCCTGGAGTCCATCTTTTATGCTCCGCCCAGGAGAATCAGCATCATGTTGTTGCCTTGGCAACATGTCATGGCAAGCATGTATGTCATAGCTCCTTACAGAAAATGACACTGGAGACAAGACAAGGGTATTGCAGGAACCCTTGTCCACTGCGGAGTGGGGGGAAGGGAGGGGTTGTTTATGAAGCACAGGATACACAGAGACAGTTTGAATCACTTCCCACCTTGGGCTCCTTTCAGGGGGAAGGGTGGTATATAAATCTAACAAATAAGTAAACAAATATTTACACATCTCAGGTGCACTTCCTTTCCTCTTGTGCAGTACAGGTGCAATGGGCTGTTGAAAGGTGCAGATGCAGGAGCGTAGGAAGACAGGTGGTGGTTTAGTTATGGGATGTGTGGCATAAAAGCTGTAGGGTGAAGTATAGTGGCAAGAAGCTCTGGAAACAAAAGTACTACAGGTGATATATGCCAAAATGCATGTAAGCCGCCTGTAACTGGAGAGGCAGGCGATTCCTCATAAGTATGTGGGAGAAGAAGGGATGGGTGTGAGATGAGGGCAGTACTGAGCAGCCCAGGGCAGTGCTGGAAGGTGGCCACACCAGTGGGGCACTAGATTATAGGGGGTGGAAATGATCAGCCCCCAATTTGGTTATCGGTTTGATTATTTATGATGCTTCGGAACAGATAAAGGGTGAGACTTCGTTCAATTTTTATACCGCTATAAAAGGGAAAAGATAATTTGGAATATTAAAAAAAAACCAAAAACCACAACCTTTCTGATCATAGTGCTCTGAAATTGTTTATGCATTGGAGTTCATTAGAAATATTAGTGAATCATATGTTAAGTCGTCTGACAACCTTCTTCTACATTTAGATTACTGGAGCATTATTTTGTATACCCTTGGGGCTTTGTCCTGATTTCTTTTCATGTGATACTCCATTCTTCTGTATTTTGCTGATAGGATATTTTTAAACCATCTTTCAAATCCTATTTTCGGCAGAGCAAGTAGCAAGTCAGTTAGGTATGGGTGGGCTCCCCTTTTTTGAGGAAAGTGTTTCTGACAACTAAAGGCTAACCTCCACAAACCTTGATACATGGTCTATTTAATCCTGTTTCAGCCAAGTCCTCAACAGTGCCAGTCAAAACCATTTCCATCACTGGTAATATGTACCCAACAAGATTAGTTTCCATTGCAGTTCTCTTCCTTGGAAAGCAATCTAAAAGTGCTTTCCATGTGCTCACAAAACCTCTCTTCCTGTGACCACCACCCAGATGTAATACATTGTGTTGGATCTAGGTTACTTTAGTTGTGCTTTCATTTCACTGAAATCAACAGGGCGTCTATCTAGTAGCACTTATTTCAATTAGACTAAAAGAGCGACTAAGAGAGCAATCCTATACACCAGAAGCTGGTGTAGTGCAAGATTTTGTCGTTACCCCAGAGTATCCTCTTTTTGGGGGTTTACGGCAGCTTAAAAGGTAAAGGTACCCCTGCCCGTACGGGCCAGTCTTGACAGACTCTAGGGTTGTGCGCCCATCTCACTCAAGAGGCTGGGGGCCAGCGCTGTCCGGAGACACTTCCGGGTCACGTGGCCAGCGTGACAAGCTGCATCTGGCGAGCCAGCGTAGCACACGGAAACGCCGTTTACCTTCCCGCCAGTAAGCGGTCCCTATTTATCTACTTGCACCCGGGGGTGCTTTCGAACTGCTAGGTTGGCAGGCACTGGGACCGAGCAGCGGAGCGCACCCCGCCGCGGGGATTCGAACCGCCGACCTTTCGATCGGCAAGCCCTAGGCACTGAGGCTTTTACCCACAGCGCCACCCGCGTCCCGCAGCTTAAGAACCACCAGACTTGGTTCAGCCAGTTGAGGGATAAGCTGGTGTATCTGCAGCTGAGCTGGGGATGAGGAGGTTAAGCTGGTTTAGCTGGCTGTGTCAGGAACCTCTCAGCAAAGCCAGAGATCTGCTGGATCCTAACCCTGCTCATCTCTGAATCTTCCTGTAGCCTTGCTGCCAAAATTAATCTGGATCTAACCTGCTGTGTATGTAGATGTAAGGACTTTGCGATAGTATAAAAAAGATTTCCCCCCCCCCAAGCCTTCTGATGGTTACAGATAAAGATGTGTACAACCGATTTACACAACCATTTTCCTCTTTCCAGGATTTCCCTTTGAGAAAAGTCCCCTGTAAGAAAGATGCGCCTTCGGGATCCTTTTTTGCTAGGGATAACACTGCCAACTTTCTCAAATGGTGTCGCTGCATTGGCGTGGATGAGACTTACCTCTTCGAATCTGAAGGCTTAGGTAAATATCGCCTAATGAGGTCAGTCCCATGAAATGACATGGCCATTAATTTCTCATGCAGGTTGTTGCTGTGGCTTCTAGTTAAAAGGGGTAGAACTGTTCATAAGAACTGGTTTCTATGAGTGTGTTCCAGAGTTCCTTGATTATGAAACAGGTGGTGCACATGCCCCTGTAAAAAAAAAGAGTTAAGGTATAATCAATGCATGCTTCAATACAGAGCAAAATAACCTGATGGAAAGAGAGCCAGGGTACCAAATATATCATGGAGAGAAAGAGGAGGACTTTCTTGCTTGTTGCTTTTGGGGATAACAGAGGGGATCCTAGAATAGCTTTCAAGCCAGCTGCAGAACAAAAATATATTAATTGTTTTAAAACTAAGCTGTAAAGATTTACAGTGTTGTATCATGCTCCTCAATGGAACCAGGACTCATTTGCTCAAGATGTTGGGATTTCCTTCTCCCTCTGCTCCATAGGCTGACTTATTCGGGGGACTTCAATATGGTTCTTTGCCTTATTAATGCTCTGATATGCATTGATTGTGGTTCACCATATCCTGGAACACTTTCAGATTCTGGGTGGAGTCAGCAAGCAGTGAGTTGTGATGTTGAGGTCTTTTGCCACATTCACCATGACAGCAACTGTGGCAGCTCTTCTTATAAACTACTACATGTGACTCTGCTATCACTGGTGACATTGGATGGTGCTAAGAAACATTTTTTTGGGTGTGTGTGTAAATTTGGATGTGCTTTGTTTGCATTTTTGGGTGTTTTTAAAGATAACTATACTTGGAAATGGGAAGTAAGCTTTTTCTAAGTCAATAAAGCTCAATGGTTGGTTGGTTGGTTGGTTTTCTCTTTCAGCTTGCTTTTTTTTTTTTAACCTTGGAATCCTGCACTTGACCACTCAAATCTACCTGCCCCACATCAACATCAGTATGCAAAGTACCAGCAGAGCATGCGTGAGATTTGGGGGCTCTGTTGGACTCCAATCCCATTTAGAAAGAGAAAAGGTGATACAGAAGGCTGGTGTTCTAACAACAGTGGTAGGAGAGGTCCCCAGAGGGGCTGGCATTGCCCTATAAAAACTCCATAGAATGGCTATAGAAGCTTCAGGTGTTACAAAGTGACAGGGGCATGAGGCAGTAAGAATGGACACAACTGGTCAGGATGTCCAAGGCTTGCATAACCATCCACCCCCGGCTATTAGTGCTGATCAAAGACCTCTGAAAAGACAGGGATTCCCGCTGTCAAACTCCAGCATTTCTTAAATGTCTTGGGAAATGTTGCAGAATGCAGACCCAGGCCTTTGATGCGAAGAGAAGGGACTTGCAGAGAAAGGGGCAGCCGTAACAGGAGTTAACAGTACCTGTTTGTCCAAGGAAAATCTTCCTCTTTCCCATAGCTTCTCATAGCCATTCTGGCCCCTGGGTCACATGCATTCACTCTCTGAGTGTTCATAAGTAAGTACGATCATAAATATGAGTGATCTTCACCCAGGATTTAGGAACCTGTGGTCATACTGCTGTTGTTGGACTTCAACGCCCATTAGCCCAAGCTAGCATGGCCAGTGAGTTGTAGTTCAAGAACAGATGGAGAGCCGCAGGTTCCCCACCCCTAATCTATGCTTTCCCTCCTGGTAACAAATGTTATTCTTGGTAATGGAGATTGGTAGTTAAGGGGGATGCTGCAGGTAGTACAGGGTCATATCATTTCATGTTTAGAGCTTTCTATGTTCCTGATTCTAACATCGGGGGGAAAGAAGGTAGCATGTTGCCATGCCAGGGTTTTTTACTTGTTCTCTTTCCATGCATACTGTACATATTTTACTGGTGGATCTGTGATTAGTGCAGATGTGATTTTTCAGGAATTGGATGCAAATAACTGGATGCAGTTAAGTTCCTCTCTCAAAGGCAGATATGCCCTAAATGCCAGCTAGGAGCCTGTCTCTGTTTGAGTTTTCTTTATAAAGTGCTTCAAGTACATGACTGCTAAAATTAGTCAACCAGTTTAAGGACTCTGCAGCGTCAACAATTTGTGAGTAATTGACATTTTGCATCAGAAGCAAGAGCTTTGGATTTTACCGCCCTACACTCCTCATTCTAACTAGATGGATATGAAAATGTAAACTTTCAGGCAAGTTCAGGATTGCTACCTTCAAAACACTTCCAACTTAAAATCAGATCTTGCACTGGTTTTGTACCTGGAGGATGACACTATCTGCCTCTAGTTTCAGACCGGACTTTGTAACCAGCAGCTGCCAGACCAGGTTTAACCTGATGGAGCAAAATCTCTGACTGCTCATAAAGAAGAGTAGCTCAAAACAGAATTGGTTAATTAAGGTTTTGGTATTGTTCTTTTAAAATAGATGCACACCCGCCTAAGTCCCAGCCCTGCAGAAGAAGTGCTACTTAAGTTGTTGTGAAATTGCTTGTGCTTGTTGAAACACAACCTTTAAATATGTTTGCTGCATACATTTAGAAACCAAACATCACCACCACCTAGGACTGACTGGTTGCGATATGCTTAGTAATTTTAGTTTATAAATGCTGATTTTGCATTTCGGGCAACTTAATTTACAATGGCAAGTGTTCTGTTTTTTGAATCCCACCAACTTTAGGTGAAGCATACTTCTAGGAAACTGTATATCTTTGTTCCAGGTGTGGCGAAAGTGGAGCCCTCCAGATACTGTTAGACTAAGTGCCTATCATCCCTGACCATTGGTCTGGGCCTGATAGAAGTTTTGGGGCACCACAGTGGTTAGCCCTACTTTCAGAGTCACCATTTAATTCCCCCCTTCTTCCATCAAGCATTTCTCAGTAGCAAAATCAGATATCATATTGGGTAATATGACTTCATAAATAATGAAATAATATGTCTAATAAAGAATAATTTCATTTTCATCTAGGTAGAATGGAGTTGGCAACATTTATAATTGGAATCAGTCACACCATATTACATCGTGTATGTAGCTCAGAGTATTGGGGAGGCTGCTGACTAGTTAACACAGTAGCTGGCTTCGCAGCATAAATGCGTGCTTTGTATGCTCCTGGCAAAGAGCCTCCTTGGAGGGGCGAAATTCCTCTTAGCCTGCTGTGCCCTTTTACATTCAAGCATATTTGGAAATAAGGAGTGGCTGTTTTGTTTGGACACTTGCGCAAGCATACAGCTCTGGCTTGCCACCCAATTTCCTTTGCATTTGAACAATGCAGGAACCTTAATAATTTTTATACTGCCACTCCATCCAAGGATCACAACATGATGATAATGATATTAAATTTGTATACTGCCCTTCATCTGAAGATCCCAGAACAGTTCACAACAGGAAAATACAAAATGAGAAGAGAGTGGGTATCTGATATAGAACCCTAGGAAACTTGAACTGTGGTGTCTGTTTTTTGTTAATGTCTGTTTTTTTCTTCACACATCTGTATCTGGCATCTTTCCAAATCTCCTGACAAGTTCTTACAGTTTGAATTTCTGGGGGTGGAGTGGGGTGAGGATTTTCACTGAAAAGTAAGTCCAGAAATGTGACTGCTAAGCAAAGTGTTATATTGGCACAGCTGTTGTTGATGCCCTGGAGAACAAAGCTTATAGGAGTAATAATTCAGAATTTGGATATTAGATTAATCATCAGCATCATCTCCTTCCACATCCATGTCTCAAGGTGATGTACAAAATACAATAAAGGTAAAGGGTAAAGGGACCCCTGACCATTAGGTCCAGTCGTGGACGACTTTGGGGTTGCGGCGCTCATTTCGCTTCATTGGCCGAGGGAGCTAGCATACAGCTTCCGGGTCATGTGGCCAGCATGACTAAGCCGCTTCTGATGAACCAGAGCAGTGCACGGAAACACCGTTTACCTTCCCGCCAGAGCAGTACCTATTTATCTACTTGCACTTTTGATGTGTTTTCGAACTGCTAGGTTGGCAGGAGCAGGGACCGAACAACAGGAGCTCACCCCATCGCGGGGATTCGAACCACCGACCTTCTGATCGGCAAGCCCTAGGCTCTGTGGTTTAGACCACAGCACCACCTGCGTCCTACAAAATACAATAGAAACAGCTAAAAACACAGAAGATAGCAGCAAGTTAGTTTTAAAACAATACCAAATAGATGCCCACGGCAGAGACCAGCTGAGAAAGCCTGTTGAAACAAAAATATATTCATTTGTTTCTGGAAAGTGCAAATGGTGGGTGCCTCTCATATTATAACTTGTCTTCTGTTGCACGAAACAGAAGTCGTGCTCTGAGTTACTTATTCTTCTTTTGTCTTGCATGCAAGTTATTTCTAGTCTGCAGTTGATTTTTTTACCCTTAAATAAAAATTAACTTACTATGAAATAAGGCAAATCATTAAGTTTTCAAAATTCTCTTCACAGTTCTTCATAAGGATCCCAGACAAGTGTACCTTTGTCTACTGGAAATCGGACGCATCGTATCAAGGTGTGTATTCATTGGAGTTATCTAGATAGAGTATGTAACATAGAGCAAACCTTGAGAAACCGTAAGGGTAGCCAATGTGGTGCTTTCCAGATGTTGTTGAACTACAACTCTCATAAGCCCCAGCCAGTGTGGCCACTTGTTATGGATGATAGGAATTGTAGGCCAGCTACAACTATGTTGGTTACCCTTCATTTAAATGGTTTCTCAAGGTTTTCTTCAGAGATCCAGCCTCTTTATGCCTCCTTGACACTCAGGGAAAGAAAGCCTGACAAATTTTAATTCAGTATGAGTACTGAATTAAGTAGTTCAGCAAGTCATGGCTAGAAGGGGCAGTGTTTTCTCATTGGACTGGGCAGCATAAATCAAAATGGCAGAATTAGATTCTGTAGGCAGTGGAAGGTTTTTTGGTTTTGAAATCAAAGATGGCATTGTTGTCAAGTCCCAGCAAAGGGGGGCACACCATCAGGGATAACACTGACATCCCAGTTTGATTCTTCAGTCCCACTCTCCCAGCTTCCAGTTCTCCTGCTTACAAGCTCTGATGTGTTCATGTGGAACAGGCATAGGCAAAGTCGGCCCTCCAGATGTTTTGAGACTACAATTCCCATCATCCCCGACCACTGGGCCGGTTAGCTAGGGATGATGGGAGTTGTAGTCCCAAAAATATCTGGAGACCCAAGTTTGCCTATGCCTGATGTAGAAAATTGTTTCCAGGCAAATACATGTTCTGAGAGTCTGGCTCTGCAGCTTATATGATTGAACCTTTGGAGAGCACTTCCTACATTTCTCAGGAAGTCAAACCTATGTTTTAGATACTTCACAGTCTGCTGTATATGCAATTAGACATGCTAGAGACATGTAATAGCTATACGCTATTTTTCATTTCCTTGTTTCAGAATTTTATTTAACCTAAATGCAGTACCTTTTCCTCCCACCCCTCCTTTCCTTTTTCTAGATATGGAGTTGAACCGCCTGTATTAGTAAAACTGGAGAAGGAAATTGAATTGGAAGAGACCTTATTAATGTCCTCTGATCCTGTTGCTCCTGCTGTCACTCCCAAGTCGTGTTGTCAACATGGAGAACTACATGAAGCAGTAAGTATTGCTTGCATTTTGTCCAATGAAGTTTTAGCTTGCTTCGGTGAATTACCTTGTATTGTGTGCTCCTCTGAATGTGCATTTAAAAGGAGCTCTATTTGAAAATGAGCTTCATCTGTGTAATCTCATCAAGTTGTATCCAATTTAAGTCATACTCAGTAGACTCATAAAAATTTACTTGATGTTCCCCACCTAGTAGGATTTAAGCAGCCTAACTGCACAGGATTGCCATCTGGTAAGTGCAATCCTGTGATTCTTTACTGAGAAGTAAGTCCCACATAGCTTCAGTGGAGCTCTTTTCCAGGTAAGACTAGCCGCAATCTTCATATTAAACATCCAGCAAAGTAGGAAAGGAAATTTGATCACAATGCAGGAAGAAGAAAATGCATCTGTTGCAACAACTAAAAGTGCTCTTTATTTCCTCTGAAATTTTGTGAGCTTATTATCAGCTTGGCAGTTTTGAGGAAGAAGGGTGAGATCTTCACATTGGCTTTCAGTGATGTCATTCTTGTAGCAAAACAGGAAGTTCACATACATTATTATTTTTTAAAGATAACAGGGAGAAATTAACAAGAAATATTTGTACAAATAGGTTAAGCACATTGCTGAAGATCCTCCTTGCAGCTGCTCCCACAGGTTTTCAATTGAGTACCTGTCTGAAGGACGCTACAGGTTGGGAGACAAAATACTCTTCATACGTGTAAGTTCAATTTCTCAAAATGGTTTCCGATCTCTTGCTTTGGAATAGGCTGTCTCATCTGGGCCGGGCATAGCCCACATCCCCACAGATAGGAATTCAGTCTCATGAATGGAGACATCACGCTGGTGAAGTTACTTTCGCAATTTCCTTGCCTGTTTGGAAGACTGTCCCTAGCACTCTGCAAGCATTCAGCCTCAACACACAAGAGCAGAATTTTTTTGTAGGTCCCAGAGACTCATGCATCAGCCCTCCCCCCAGTGCCCAGTGAGGGAAGGTCTAAGTGTATTTGACTGGTAATGCAGGGCTCCTGATCGTGAGGAATCTTCAGTGCCCTTCAGACATTCGTACCAAGCATATGAAGGTTGGTAGCAGAGGGAAAAGGTCTAGCATGCTCAAGGATCTTGGGGGCAGAGGCTGGGGCATGCACTCCTGGCCCCCTTAGCACCTTTCCTAGAATCATAGACTTGGCACCCCAAGGGTCATCTAGTCTAACCCCCTGCAATGCAGTAACCATAGCTAAATAATCTCTGAGAGAAGGCCATTCAATCTCAGCTTTTTAAACTTCTAATGAAGCACCTTCCAAGGTGTAGTCCATTTCACCGCCAAGCATCTTTTGCCATCAAAAAGTTATTCCACAGACTTTGTTGGAATCTCTTTTCTAGTAAATTGAATCCATTGGTTTGGGTTCTACACTCTGGAACAGCAGAAAACAAGCTTGCTCCATCTTCCATGCAGTATTTTTCATATTCAGCCTGAATGCCTGGCTGAGTGCTGCTAGGGAATGCTTGATCAATAAGTCCCCTGCTTTCTGCTGTGGTTCTTGGCAGCCTGCATTCATCTGTCCTCTTGGTCTGCACTTGTTTAATGTTTTTAGGATTTGTGGAGTGGTCTTCAGGGACAGCTGGAGATTGTTTTGTAATATATGAGGAAAGCTGGTAAATGGGAAACTATGATAGAGTCCCAGAGGGTGGATTAAAGCCCCCCAGAGATGCTTCTAAGCCTAATATACTGCAGTACAAAAGGGCAAATATCCTATTCTCTACTCTTTCTCCCTTCTTCTGCTAGATGTTACACGGCAAGCATGTGATGGTACGTGTTGGTGGAGGTTGGGATACTCTTCAAGGTTTTCTACTCAAGTACGACCCTTGCCGGGTGCTGCAGTTTGCAACGTTAGAACAGAAAATCTTGGCGTTTCAAAAAGGTGCTTCCAATGAGATTGTTCCCGATTCATCTGCTAGAGCGCCACAGCCTCCACTCATGAATCCCATATCTGTAGTGGATACGTATCAGAAACAGAATTCAAAGCCCTGTACTCCCGTTTCAGATCCAAAAACTCCACACGTAACTAACAGAAAACAGGCAGTAGCCAAGTTTCCACAATCAGGTGGTCTTTCTTCCCCCAAAGTGACAACGTGTACGTCTCCTACAAGCCAGCTTGGACCAGGGCACACCAAGTCAAAAGGCTTAGTAGTGAATAACAATATGCCATCTTCCAAATCTTCAGCAGCTGCATCTAAAAAATCAGCACCTCCTCCTCATAAATCAACTTCGGTTTCAAAAGTTCGGCAACCTGTAAATAAAGGTTCCACCTCCTCTTCCTTGTTGAGAACTGCTGCAACTTCTAATTCACTTCAGAAGCGTGTCTTGTCACCAGCCAAACTTGCACATTCCCAGAATTCTCCAGCTGTTTCGGATCCTGCCCTTTTTTGTTCAGCGAGTAAGCTTTCTGAGCTACCTGGAACGAAAGCTAAAAGAGTGGCTGTAGAACAAGATTTCGATTCTCCTAATAGCAGAGCTCGGCTTGATGCTGCAGCCAAAGCTAAGCCTCTTTCAAAAACCTTAGGAAAACCTACAAGGCCAGCTGACAGAAATCCGCATGTCCCGAAGCCAACTTTGTCTCAACAGCCTTCTGCAAAACCAGTTCCCAAAATCGCCACCCAAACATTACCCGCACAATCCCAGTCACCCAGAGGCATGCCAGAAATTAGCCAGGCCAAAAACATCAAACCTGCTGTTAGCTCTGCTTTGGTTACAGATGGTAAATCAACACAGCTGATGTCTTCATTGGGACCGAGGGGTAAAAATGCAGCCTCATCTGTTAAGAACCAGACATCTGTCAAAAATGTTCAGGTCCAGAATAGCACGGCGAGAACTCCGGTAGGATCCAGTGTGTCAAAACATCCAGAGCGTACCCCACTGTCCGTGGTGCGCCTTCCCCAAAAATCAACCAAAGTCGAAACCAGGAAAAAGGCTATGCAAAGTGCTAACAGAGGTCAATCAGCAGTTAAATCCTCTCTGAATGAGAAAAACCTTCATCCATCCACTAAGAATCCTCTTTCAAAAGTTAAGACTACCGCTGTAACTACCAAGGGGACACCTGGAAGCTTAAAGGACCCAACACTGAAGACTAAGCAAGATGATAATTATTTTGTTATGAGTGGAAATAAGAAACTCAAAAAGTTAAAATAACTAAGGATATTAACTGTTGATGTTGCCTGCTCTTCCGGTAGCTACTTCATTCAAGTGTAAAATGTTTAAATAACAATATGGTAATCAAGATATTAACTCCCTTGTCTATAAATGATGTTGTTTGATAAGCTCTGCTAATCAGCTAAGACTGTTCACAAATACAGTAGTACATTGATCTCTATAGGGCATCTTACTTTAGTCTGTACTCTATGCATCTTTAGTACAATTCTGGCATTCATGTTTGATGTGACAAAGTGTTCGTTTCTCATGACAGATATTTCTGAATGGATCCCATGTGCCACCTAGTATTTTTCTTACCAGGAAAAAACAGTAAGGAGCAGGATCCTTTATAGGAGCCTGTATTAGTGGGCATCGGAAGGTACGTTTATCAGGAATGTGTACAATCTCCTGATGACATTAGCCCTTTTAGGAGACGCTCTTGTGCATTGATTCAGAACTTTGTCTAAAGATGCTTTTTATCAAAAGTGGAATTGGGAAATTGAGCCTTGTATTCTAAACACTAATTTCAGTAAGAATAAGATGTGAGTAAGTTTTTTTAAAAAAATAACAAACAAGGTAGAAGTAGCCAACATGTGAGTAGCTTTAAATTGGGGAGAGATCAGAGTTATTATTAGTAGTAGTTTGGCTGATCTTGAATGCTGAACAGAAATGGTTAGTTAGCTTTAGGGCATATCCCATGCTACAGCTCTGTTCTGCGATGGACTTCCATACGCACAACAGACCTTCCTCCTTCGCTCCCATCCCCTCCAGCTCCCCGCTCAAAATCTACTCTGGCGAGTTGGGAGAGTGTCCAGAGGTGAGGGGTTTTTGGGGGGCGGGGATGGCAGGAACAGAAGAAACAGAAGTTCTGCTGGGGCACTGGAACTACACATGTGAAGCACTGGATACAACCCTTCATTTTTAAGGGGTATTTATTCTAATTTAAAAGCTCTTATGTAAGTCCCATTTAAGCGTTCAATAAGAACACTAAAAATTTCTGCCTTAAAACATAACTTCAGTGCCTTAGCACATGATGTGCTCTGTTGTATCACAAGATATTTTAAATATCTGAGTTCAGACGTGTGCCCTAGTTTATTCATGTGGGCTGAGTTCAAGCCTGTGCTGATCTCAGCAGGGCTTAAGCAAATGAAACTCTGGGTCTGATTGCACAGGAACAATTTAATGAACGCTGGTGCTTTGTAACTCTTCTGCGTGTCAGTCTTCTGAGGCGAGTGGAGCTTGTGCAGCCACAGTGCTTAATGGATTGCATGCTTAAAATGCATTAGCCAAACCTCCCTATGGGAGGGAAAACACCCCGTAGAATTCTAGGAAAAATGCTTGTGTCTGCAGAAGTGGGCGAGCAACCTTCAGATAATATGATTTACATCTGTAAGCACAATTCAAATGCCTTTCAAATAAGCTGCCTACGTCGTTTTTTAATATTTATATTGCACATTACTTCATGCTAGCTGCATAATTCATTCCTTGTTGCATTTAATACAGCATAACCTGCCATATGCAGCAAACTTTGGAGCGGAAGAAGCTTGATCTAAGTGTCTTCAGTACAAAGCTGTACAATTATCAAGCAAGATAGTATTAATGGCATGTGTATACCAGCTTGTATACACCTGTACTTCCTAAAGCAGTATTTTTTAGACATTTACCTTTTTTGAAAAAACCCCAACAACTTCGCAGTTCCTTCTCCATAGATTCCCCCCCCCCAAAAAATGTAGGCATCAGGAAAAATCACTTTCTCACAAAACTGTCTGCATGTTGCACTGCCTAATATCAAATCATGTCTTTAATTGCAAAGTACATTGCGAACCCAGGTGAAATTGATCTTGAGATAATGGATTCTGCCCAAAATCACAAATTAGTAAACCATTATTGACTGAAGTGGAAATAAGCAGCCACGCACCCCCCACCCCCACCCCTCTCTTCACATCTGCTGTAGCTGCACTTAAAAAAGAAACGCCTGACTAGATGAGGCAGAATGCATGTCCCATTGAAAACAATGCTGTGTAGACAAAATATATCCACAGTTAGCTTTACATTCTAACAGTGCGCTGCCAGTTTAAATTCCTCCTTGATTCTGTACATGATAATTCCACAGGAACGTGTCTATACACACCCTTCCCCTTAGCTGCTTTGGAGTGACTAGTTATATATGGCACCTATATAGCTCTTACATATACGGCAGTGGTTGGGAGACAAAGTAACTGTTGTGCCTGAAAACTACTTTTTATTTATTGGAAAACAGCAGTGAAAGAGGTATTCACACAAGTCAGTGTCCGATCTTTACTGGCCATAACATGAATATTCATTTCTGTACTACCAGTTTCTATTATTTATGGATTTTTGTAAGTCAATAAACTGCTGCAATCTATGAGAAACGTGGCAATGTCAAGTTTTTTTTGTTTTTGTTTTTGGGTGCTTAATTAAGGCTCAAGCATGGAAGTCTTTACAGGTATTTAGTAGCCAAAAAAAAGAAAAAAAGTCTCTGTTACTGAATAGTATGCACATCAGCTTAATAGCCTGATTTAAAAAATAATAAAGTGAACCCTCCCCTGTTCATTGCTATAATGATGTGTATGTGCCAAATAGCATAGAATGGGATTATATGTAATTTGAAGAGTGTTGTAGTTACCCAACTAGTATTTAAATGGTATGTCCATGAAACATCTCTCTGTAGGCAACTGGGGGCTACTAAGTCTGAGCTACGGTGTTTGAGGCTTGTGTATGCTCTATGGAGCTGTCTCTGAAAGTTTGGGAAAGATGGAAAGCTCATGTGACAGTTCAGCTGGCAGAACATGAGACTCTTAATCTCAGTCTAGGGTTCGAGCCCCACATTGGGCAAAAAGATTCCTGCATTTCAAGGGGGGTTGACCTAGATGACCCTCATGGTCCCTTCCAACTCTACAATTCCACGATCCATGCGAGTTCTAATGTGTGTGTGGGAGCTCGTCCAGAAATGGCCTTTAACAAAAGTCTTTCTACATTTTTATTTTTCCCTTCTCCTGAGGAATTCGCATTGGCTACAAAGTCCACCCCATTTTATCTTCACTGCAGCCCTGTAAGATAGTTAAAGCTGAAAGGATGTGACTATTCCATCATCATGTGGTAACTGTCATGGCTGAGTGCAGATCTGAACCTGGATCTCCCTGTTTAACACTTGCCACTATGTCACACTGGCTGCCTAGTACAGTTTGGTTGGGTCACCTTCATCCCTTTGTGTATATAGATATATTTGCCACTACCAAAGGCAATGGGAACATCCCCTTATATAGCTAAGGGGAACGGCTTTAGCTCAGAGCATCTGTTTTCTTTGAAGAAGGTCCCTGATTCAAATCCTGACATCTCCAGGTAAGGCTGGGAGAGAGAGCACTGTTCAAAATCCTGACGAGTCTCTGCCATTCAGTCACCAAACTAGGTGGACTGACGGTCTGACTACATATAAGGCAGCTTCCAATCAAATAATTCATTATATGGTCATGGACACACTAAAAAGCTTCCTGTGTTCTTGCTGCACTCACCCACCCTCAAGGAACTGCTGAATTTTACAGTATACTTGTATAATATGATTAAAGTATGCAAGAAACAATGCAAGAAATCATGTTTTTCATGGTGAAAAAGTAAGCCCAGTGGGGGGCGGTGAGAGAATGGATGCCAATAACCCCAGTACTTTAGGATGGAATATTTAGCCATGCCAGCCACTGAAATGGGCTAAAAATGTATACCATGTCACCTGATCCTCCCCTCAAAACAGGAATTTTGTTCCTGATTTTTTCCCCAGACCCTCCCAAATCATTCAGAATTAGATCACAATCTGTCAAGATATTCTGAAATATACAAGACAGTTGATCTGGAAGTAGCCTTGCGTTCCCACCTTAAGTACCCTGATGTACATGGAAATCAGCTGTTTCATATATTGTGTTTAGTGTTGGGCAGTTAGTCTATGAATTTAACCTAATTTGGATTATTATTATTTTCTATTTAGGAACAGTGGTACCTTGGTTCTCAAACGGCTTAGTTGCCAAACGAATCGGCTCAGGAAGTAAGTGTTCTGGTTTGCAAATGTTTTTCGGAAGCCAAACATCTGATGCGGCTTCTCATTGAGTGCAGGAAGCTCCTGCAGCCAATCGGAAGCCACGTCTTGGTTTTCAAACAGTTTTGGGAGTCAAACGTACTCCCAGAATGGATTAAGTTTGAGAACCAAGGTACCACTGTATCTGAGAAGAGGTGGAATGCTAGGCCCAGGTAAAACTACTGCCATTTTAAGGTCTTCCGTTCCTTAAGGAAGGGGCGGAGTCTGGGAGAATTAATCAGGACCTTGAATGTGTGGGGAGCATTAGGGCTAAATGTGGTCACCTGGGCCTCTGTCTGGTCCTCTTATTGCCCTGTCATGCTCCCCTCTCCCCAGCCCTGCTTTGCACCATAAGCTTTTCAGCACTTAGGCCTCCCTGCCTGTGGATTTTTGCATGAGGTAAAGTAAGGAACTTGTATGTGCAATGAGCTTACGCTTTTACTTCTCCCTTTTGAAAGTTGATCAGTACTTTGGGGACCTCTAGTGGAGAACTTAGAAATATGTCACTGAAGTAATATGATTTTCCTACATCTTTATTGTCTTCAGAAATCAGTGTGTGGACACTGCAATCCTATACATGTCTACTTGGCAGGAAATCCTTTGGATTTCAGTGGTACTTATGCCCAAGTGACTGGATTGCAGGTTAAATATATCCTTTTTGCTAAACTATTACAGTGGTACCGTGGGTTACATACACTTCAGGTTACAGACTCCGCTAACCCAGAAATATTACCTCAGGTTAAGAACTTTGCTTCAGGATGAGAACAGAAATCGTGCAGCGGCAGCAGGAGGCCCCATTATCTAAAGTGGTGCTTCAGGTTAAGAACAGTTTCAGGTTAAGAACAGACCTCCAGAACAAATTAAGTTCTTAACCTGAGGTACCACTGTATTGTCATATTCCTATTTTAGGAAATTTGTTTGGTAGAGAAAATAAATAACTGGCTTCAATGTTAAGTCCTTTGCAACATGAAAGTGCACACCCTACTTTCCTCTTTCCTATATGCTTTATATCCTCTTATTCATCTGACGTATGGACCACAAAGTATGGAGATGGAGAAATAGAGATTTGTGATTGTGAGACTGATTGCCTTTCACAATACAGTATAGGAAGTTAAAATTCATCCTGGCTTAGTAATTAAACACTTCCTATTTAACTTCACTATTATAAATACAAATAGCTGTTTTGCTAGTAGGAGGAGTAATAGTTGGTAGTTAAAGCCCCTCCCCCTCCAGTCGCTCAGAAACTAATTTTGGGGCAATTCAGAGAGGCCAGTCAAAAGGGCAAATAGCAGAGCAACTGGAAACAATAAAATGAATTTAATCTGCAGTCAGGAAGTGCTTTAGTTAAAGTAACAGGGTCCCTGCAAGCTGATGCTGCAATACAGGTATTTTGCAAAACTAATCCCCAGTCCATCTGCCCTGCCATGCAAAGTCTGAAAAAAACAAGGGACAGCTAAACAGATTAGTCTGCAACAACTTGACAATGGCATCATCTGGATGTACTTCATATATGAACAAAGGATGGCAATTCGAGAGAAAAGAGCTAGCAATCTTAGCACATCAGTTCATACCTTAATTACATCCTCTCTTGACAACCACAATGTGTATTTTAACATCCTCTTTGAAATCCTAGTTTTGTTTGTCACCCACTTCATGAAATACGGGAGTCAGTCCAGGACCTGAAGGTTTTTCCACAGCAAAGGCCAGCATCTGTAGCTCAGTATGTCAAATGAGAGGGAAGCTCCATGCAGATCATTAGTTTCCTGACCCCAGTTGAAGGTGCTGTGTTTTTGGAGCTACTCCAATAATACAAATCATTGCTGTTGTTTGGGCTGTGATCCTTTTATTCATTTGGCTTTTTTGTACAGTACAAGGCATTCAATTTGTGTTATTTGCAACAAAATGGATAGCACATTTATAAAACCAAGCAGGGTCCAGTATTGGTTCAAATTGGATGGGTGACTGTGTGCCAAGATTCCTGCATTGAACTAGATGACCCTTCTATGATTTCATAGTTTTAAAAGTGGTTAATAATAATAATAATAATAATAATAATAATAATAATAATAATAATATATTTATACCCTGCCCATCTGGCTGGGCTTCCCCAGCCACTCTGGACAGCTTCCAACAAAATATTAAAATACAGTAATGCATCAAACATTAAAAGCTTCCCTAAACAGGGCTGCCTTCAGATGTCTTCTAAAAGTCTGGTAGTTGTTGTTCTCTTTGACATCTGGTGGGAGGGTGTTCCACAGGGCAGGTGCCACTAGTTGCTTTAGAAATGCCAATAAAAGTATTGATTCAATATTACATTGTGCATAAAGTGTTTGGTTTTAAGTAGCTATTTATGGATCGTAGGTTACAAGAACTGTGGTCATTGTTGTTTACCCTTCAAAAATACAGATGCTGTGAAGTCCATTGTATGGGCCAACGTGATTGCAGCTGGAAAAACCTAATTATTGTGAAGTGTCATTCTGATGAATAGTATGTCTAATAGCAGCTCAGTTTTGCTGAGTCCAGCATTCTACAAGAACCCGTGAAACAGGACCATAATAAATTATGTGTATTTGTGTACGCGCTATGAAATAGAGCCTTTGAAGTACCTTGAAAGTATTTATTGCTGCTGTCAAAACTGAGCAACGAGCACAGCAAGTTTTTAGAAAGCATGCTAAGCAGTTTTGGCTTCCTCATTGTCTCCTGATATTAGACCTGGGTGCAATCTTAAAGAAAGTGGGGATTTTGCATTGATTTGGGTAGGATGTAGGATGTAGACCTTTGTGCACCTGATATCAGGCATGTGGGGCCAGCCTTTTGATTCTTCTCGAATTGGCCACTGCTAGCAATAGAGCCACTGCTTTTCAAATGTGCAAGAGCATGATGTGAGTTTGGTAGAGACTGGTGTGTTCTCACTGCCAGGAATTATGATCTGGAGAAGGAAATGTGGTCAAGCTGGGGAGATTGCAGCTCCGCTTCTGCCTGAGCAACAAGAGGTGAAGAGGAGGCAAGAGAGAGGTTCTTTATTTATTATTATATTTATTCATTAAAAATATCAGAGCAATTTACAACCATCCAATAAAATCCATATATAAAGATTAAACTCTGAATTCGGTTAAAAATTAAGGAAAGGTGTGTTTTTTATTTGCCTTCATAAGCCTGAGGGAATAGGATAATAATAATAATAATAATAATAATAATAATAATAATAATAATAATAATAAATTTTATTTATATCCGCCCTCCCCTGCCGAAGCTGGGCTCAGGGCGGCTAACAACATTCTAAAACATTCATTATAAAATTAATCAAATCAAA